TAGAGGATCGGGCAACAGTAACTTGCTTCTTTACATTCCAAGAAATCAGGGAATTGCCAAGAAATGTACAAAATCCAGATATGGATTTTCGGTCTAATGTATCAACTGCCCAGTCGGAATCAGAATATGAATGTAACTGTAGTGTGCCTCGAGTAATTGGAAGACCGAAATTGAGGGTTCCTTGGATGTACCGGAGAAGCCGTTTAAGAGCATTGAAATGTTGCTGCATGGGATTATGCATCTGTTGGCAGATAATGTTTGTAGCATAAGCAATATCAGGCCTGGTGATTGTTAAGTACTGTAACGAGCCAGCCAACTTGCGGTACTGTATGGGATCCGACTTAAGAAAATTGTTGGATGTGAGCGTTGGTTTCACTGCTACAGGGGATTGAGAAGGCTTACAAGAGTCAAGACCTGCTGCCTGAATCAAATCCCTAGCGTATTGGGATTGGCTTAAGAAGTAGCCATGAGGGGAATGTAGCACTTGTATACCCAGAAAGAATGAAATCGGTCCAAGATCTTTAAGTGAGAATTTAGATTGCAGCTGTGAGATGAGGTCCGAAATCTTGGATTTGTTGTTGCCCGAGATGAGTATGTCATCTACATACAGGAGTATGTATATTTGTGTATCCGAGGTCTTGTAGACTAATAAGGAGTGATCCGATTTTCTGAAGATGAATCCAAGTGATTGTAAGCAGGCGGTGAGAGTGTGAAACCATTGACGAGGAGCTTGCTTCAGCCCATATATAGATTTATGCAATTTGCAAACATGCTTGGGGTGGTTGTCATCAACAAAAACTTGGGGTTGGACCATGTAGACCTCCTCTTATAACTCACCATGTAAGAAGGCATTGGCTACATCCAGCTGGAATACCGGCCAATTTCTTTGAAGAGCAATGGAAAGCATGATTCTTATGGTTGGCATTTTCGCAACAGGACTAAAAGTCTCCTTGTAATCAATGCCAAATTCCTGATTGAAGCCTTGAGCGACAAGTCTGGCTTTGTATCGGTCAAGAGAACCGTCTGGATGTAGCTTGGTGCGGAACGTCCATCGACAGCCAAGTATGGTGCGGTTGGGAGGTGGAGGGACTAGAGACCAAGTTCCCTATTTTTGAAGTGCATTGAATTCCTCAGACATAGCAGTTCTCCAAGAGTTGGATTTGATTGCTTGGCTGTAACAAGTAGGAGTGTGAAGTGGTTGTAGGGCGGCTAGAAGATTGAGTGGTTGTTTGGGTTTGAGATGGTCGGTTTTAAATCTTGTGAGCATGGGATGTAAGGGTGGAGGTGGTATGGAGATAGATGGTGAAGTGGTGGGAGTAGATGAGTTATCTGTTGGAGATGTGAGGGGTAGTATTGTAGAAGGGGTGGTGGAGGGAGGAGGAAGTGGTGGTATAGTTGCTGAAGGTGGAGTTGTAACAGAGTGTGGGAAAGAAGGTAAGGAAGTGGAGAATTGTTGTTGGACAGTTGAGATGGGTAGGAGAGATAGAGTGGAGTTGGTAGAGGTAGATGGAATAGGTGAT